CCCCCCTGCCTCCCTTGCCACACGACACCCCCCCTCAATCCACAGTTAAGGTAAGTAGGTACAGTATATAAGAGAATGGCCCTGGATCTGTGCCTCAAGAGGAAACTACCAACACGGTCCTTACACTCTTGCTCAAATCAACTTCAATATCCTTCCAGTTAAATCACATTCTTTCAATATGGTTCAATTATCAACAGATGCTATCATCACCCTCGTCAGCACAATCCCTGGACTCATTGTCTCTTGTCTGAGTGCCTGGTTCGCTTACCTAGCACTACACCGAAGACCCATCCCCCTAAGTGATGCCGAAACAACCGCAATGCTTTTCATGATCCCAAAGACATTTTCTGTTCCTCCTAGGTTCGCATTTGCATTTCATCACCTTTTAATGAGTTGAGCCTGACTTGTTTGTCCTTTTCAGCGCATTGTCCCACATAGATTCCGGGAGGACATTGACGAATGGTGATGCCCTACAACTACCGCCCGCAACAAGTCAACAATGTATTGGACCTAGCAATTCCCCAGTGCTTGAACATGCTGAGCGTGTATCATACCGTTTCGACCAAGAATGCGATGCAATATGAGAATGCGCTGCTTTTCGATACCTCAACACGGGCCGTGGTGCATACGACACAACTGGTGTCCCCAAGCCACTGCCCCTCACCAACAAACGAGGCTTTCTCACTCGGCTCACACACACTCACCAACCAACCCGATACAACTGTCCACTATGAGTTAGCTCTCGGAGGAATGATTTCAATTTTATGGACTATTACCGGCCTGCAACGACACATTGGGAACCTCAGGAGAACGGATTCATCCACCTCAAAGTCTTCCTCACACGAGGCCACTTCTTGGACTGATACAGCTTATACGCAAAGAACAATCCAACACACGACACAACCAAGCCAAGCGTGGAGTAGACGATGGTGACGTTTACTTCGGTCGACATTGGAAGGACTCGAGCAGAGAAGCGTTGTAAGAGACAAAAACGATAGACGAAATCGGCGTGTAACGGATGAAATAAATACCTAGGCCTCAGGACACAAAGGATTGTATGTGTATGACTACATTAGGGCTATCCTACTCCATACTGTTCATCGATTGAGCTACCAGTGGGATTTCTCTTTTGGTATCCTCCCTGCTCTCATCAGAGCCTTATTCTTCCTTTGGGGGCCCTTTGCCTCGAGGCAGTGCTGCAGTAGTATGTGCCACGAGTTGCACATCTGCCAGCCTCTACGGTTGCACAGAGCGAAACACGGAGGGCAAGTAGACTCTGATAGAGCGTTTATCATAAGGAAATAAGATACTTGGGAAGATTAACTATTGTTTAAGAAGATTTGGTGTAGTTTAGGCAGAATTTGGCCAAATATAATACAATAGTAAATATTTGAGGAACAAATGAATTCGGATGTTATTCCGGGGTATGCCTTTCCTATCTCAAGCCATACAATTCTCCGCCGTGTAATCTTAACAAAAGCAAAGTCCGCAATATGAGCTCTTCATATTGGGTAGTCGAGGCACCGAAAGGTCCCCGGCGGTGGAGTTCGGCGCTTTCGGTGGGGCCTCCCCGAAATGTCTCCACAGACCGCCGAGGCACCGACCTACGCCGCCGCCGCATGATTAAAGAACTGGCATCCGCTGTTGATATCATGAAGCCAAACCCACTCATTCTTCCACTTCTAGTTGACTGACATCCCTAAACGCCACAATGTCGAAACTACCATCCACCACTCGAACTCTTGTTGCACCAAAGAAGTGTCTCCCAGCAGAGTACACAGTCATAGAGCAACCTATACCCAAGATCACCAAACCAAATCAGCTCCTTCTTCGTATGAAAGCTGCTGCAATCAATACGGGTGAAACAGGGTTTGCAGCTGGCCAGTTTGACTTGCTCTACAAGGCCTCGTAAGTCGACAACCACTCTTCATTCATACTACAAGCTCACATATACTCAGGAACTTCCCGATCCCATTTGGAATCGAAGGCTCTGGTGTAGTTGTAGAAATTGGTTCTGCAGTCACAGAGTTCAAAGTCGGGGATGCAGTCTACGGCATGGAGTTTGAGAAACCTCATCTCTGTAGACCTCCTGCAGCTTGGGCCTCGACATATGCCCTGACAGAACCACAGTTTCTTCACAAGAAACCAGATCATGTGTCTTTTGAGGAAGCCGCTGCTGCCCCAGCTCTCGCAGTAACTGCATACCAGGGCATCAAGCGTGGACTGCAGCTTCAGGGTAGAGATAGTCTGGCAGGGCAGACGGTTTACATACCCGCTGCTCTCAGTGCTTCTGGTAATACAGCAATCCAGATCGCACGGAACTATTTCGGCGCTGAGAAGATAATTTCGACTGTTTCGACGCCAAAGATGGGCCTGGTTGAAGAGTATCTTCCCGGAATGGTCACCCAACTGTACGACTACAAGACCCAAGATATCGTCAAGCTCATCGGCCGCGGCACCGTCGATTTTGCAATAAGCACTCAATTCTCCACCCTCAACGAAAGCATCTCCGTCCTCAAAACCGACGGTATCCTGATGAGCATCGCGAGCATCCCCAAAAGTGAAGTCATGGCAGAAATGCTCGGTCCCAAGTTCCCCAGATGGCTTGGCTGGATTCTCGATTTCTTGCAGATCTGGTACACGTGGAAGTTGCGCGGTACAAGGATTCAGTATGAGTTTATATCGGGACATCCAGGGCTTCGAGAAGATATGGAGGTTGTGGCGGACATGGTTGCCAAGGGGATTGTCAAGGCTGTTCACACGGCGGTGGACATGGATGATTTGGAAGAGGTGAGGAAGGGATGCGAGAAGACTCTTAAGAGTAAGGGGGGAATTGGGAAGTTCGTTGTTCGTCCTTAGGGGGGGGCATCAAGTTTTATGGTCTGGGGAGCATTGCGGGAAGACTGGACAAGTGATCATGTGTGGGTATTTCATCTCTAGTACACTTCTAATTCAAGATTGTGCCAATACGATGCTCGAAAAGCTCATTGTTGAGTTCTTCATGCAACTGGTCAAGTCGAAGTCCGTTACTGGGGAAGCATAGGACATAATTCCGAACAGATCTATGTGTAATAGGGCAGGAAGCGAAAAGGAACGATGAAGGAAAAATCTTAAATCATTGACTATAAAGGTGTGTTTAAGAAAAGACTCTCAAAGAAGCGTTGTCTAGACACGATCTCAGTTGAGCATATGAGCTCACGTAACTACATTCCCAGGCTCCCCTCTAGCGAAGGCATAATTCCGTCTCATAAGTCGACTGGCTCCAGTAACCAACACTTTCCTCTAGGTAAGGTGAAGTGTGCATGACCCCTGGGTAAGTAGATGGAACACAGAATCGGACTCCTCCACTTAAATATCCCTGACTTGAACGTGCTTGCGAAAAATGTCAGGATCTTCCCGGAAGTCTCTCCCTAAGGTAGACTTACAGAATCAAACCTCGTGTCCTTTTACGAACCCTTTGAGGTGTGTTTGGTAGAGGCGATCCAAATGAGGCAGATGATAGCATCTGGGATGAGGAAGAGGACAGAGTAGAAAAGAATCTTGATGAGTAGTTCCTTTCTTTTCCGTGTTTTCTGTGCGCGCCACGACTCTTCCTCTTCAGGCGTTGTGGGCCGGACGATTACTTGCACTGGCTCTGGCATAGGCTGGAGAGACAGCACAGCTAACGCGACGGGTGGCGGAGGTTTGATTCCGCTAGAGGCCTCTGATGAGCCTGGAGGAGTCATTTGACTTAAAGGTACTGGCTTTTCTCCACTCGACATGGCGATATGATTGATGTAGGAGTCGAGTTATGTGCAAAGAAGGGTCTGAGGTGACGAAGGTGTCGAGTGAAGGGACAGAACAGAACGGATTCAGTGGGAAGACCCTATTTATGCTGAAAAGCCTCAATGAGTTGAAACAACCTTTTCATCTTAGTTCAGAGTGGTAAAGCTTGATATTGAGCACGAGATGTAGTAAAATTCATTCACTGCCTCATCGTGGACCCAATCGTTGAGTGACAAAAATACCAAGATGATTCCGGAGTAAACTTAGCGGGTCCTCCAACAAATTAACATCAACTCCCTGATTCAAGTTCCCCTCTTTCGATCCTAGGGACCAAAGCTTGTAGTTAATGAGGCTGAGGCTGTAAATTTGATCTTGGTTTTAAAGTTGACGATGGAGATGGCATCGTTAGAACGAGCGAATGGGATAATCTGAAAGATTGGGGAGAGTTCTAAGAACCAATCAGAACTTTTGTTTCTTCCTGATTAGGGAAGCTTCCTCGGGTACCTTAGTTAGTGTCCGTTTTGACTTGGCCAGGGTGACAAGATATAAAACCAGCTGCTGAAAGGAGACAAGTTTATCATAAATTACTGGCCCCAAGGTATACCTAAGCCTCTTAAATACTTAGGATTTTGGTCTAAGGCTTCCTAAGTTTAGATAAGGTAGCTCATCTTTTCCATATCGAAGAGACTTGCCGTTCTTCAGTTGTCTTATCAGCAAGTCAGGCCTGTCCTCGGTGATCATGGAAGGCATCAAGTTTATTCGGAAAGATCACATGAGCATGCTACCTAGTACCTACTAACCTTTCCATTGTGAAAGTGACTCCTTCTAAGGTACTTTTCACTAGGTACCTACCTCAAAGACTTGACCTCCACCAAGGTAGCAACCTTCTCGACTTTTCTATTCTTCACCTTCGTAACACGAACTTGGATAACATCATTTGTTGAACAGTACGTACTATAAGCTGGTTCTTATACGTCATTGTTCCTCTTCTCAGGCAAAAGACATACCACGGGCACTCAGCACTAATCATGCGACAAATCAAATATGCCACCACGATACCCCAGATCTACGATACAACCATCATCATTGGAGCTTATAGAGTGATTCCTCGCGATGACAGTAGGCCTCATATAGGCCAATTTTAGTGGAATGATGCCCGCATGGACCAGAAACGTCTCGCTCAACTCGGTCACCGCCAAACATGGCTTAGTCCTCAGGATGCTGAGGGGTTCGACCAAACCTACTCAAGCGAGATGATAGGCAGAATACTTCTGCGTATCCGGGAGGCTTGTGATGAAGCAAAGAAGACATATTTGCCCACCGAGATCCTCGTTATCCTCTACGGCCTCGGAAACCCTGCAATCGGCTGTCATATGGATTGCACCAAAGACTTCGCTGATCCTGATGCAATAATCACCCCTACCATGATTCTGAAGGAATTGCCGCCAGACCGAGATGTCACTTTAGTCATGCGCATGTTTACTACGCGCCCCTGGGCACATATCTACACGTTGCAAGGAATACAGCTTGATAAAGTTAAGAGGGCTTATCCAGATGCTTACAGACAAGCCGGCGCGGATGGAACATTGATCAAGCAATATTTTACCGAAAAAGACGCCTTGGATTACCGGAATTCCAAGAGATTGGAACTGCAAGCCATGTACTACCACGACGAGCTTGCGCTCTGGATTCGACAATACCCCAAAGACACAGATGGTACCGCCCTAATCGAGGACAGAATATCACGATTCATGAGGGGGCATCTCGGGGAGTCGTGGCTGCAGACAATGAGAAAGGAAGCTATGCTGGCAACGGCGGTGCACTTTCGGCTGTCAATGGCGTTCTTGACGGATAACATGACTGCCCACTTCAAGCTCAAACGCCCGATGGACGAGACTTGCCTCGAGTGGAATATGTCTCGGTGGATCGAACGCCGATCTAATCTCACACGCTCGAACAAATGGTACGAATTATTCAAGAAATGGAAAGAGATCGAGACCAGGGCCGGATTGCTGTGGAGTGGATACACCCGATTCTGTCTCTATCTACGTGCAGCTCACTTTGAAACATACTTAGCTGAAGAAGAGATTAAACATACACCAGGAAGTATCAACCTGGTCTTAGCTGACCTCGAGCGTTTTTTTAAGTACATGCTGAACGAGGCCGAGAGAATGGCCAGCATCTGCAAGGGGATTGTTGACGAGTCGATACAGTATGGAGATGAAACACTGAGGGAGGATATGCCTCGAGAACGTTACGAGAGCTTGAGAAGAATTATGGGGCATCTTTCGGATATAATCTATGAACAGTGCGCAGTGGTGCCCCCAAGGAGTAGCTTTCAGTGAATCATTGATGGGCGAGGCAGAGTGACTAGGATCAAGGTCCGGGGTTTTCTTGCCTCCCCAAGTACCTAGATACGTAAAATAAATATGAACTTCCAATTAGCAGACTTTGGACCAAAGCCCCAAGTATTGAAGAGGCTGAGGCGGGTGTATAATTCCTATCTGGTCGTCCGTAATGATGGTTATATCGTGGATCTAGGGTATCGTGGCGACATATTTGATTTGACGTATATTGTCCGTTGTGTCTTCTGCTTAATAAAAGGAATTATGTTGAACAGAATGAAAGCCCTGTCGCCTTGGTTTTGAGGCTTTTGGCACAGCGATTTGGTACGACAAATGATGTTAGGTACCCCAAGTCAAGTGTTGAAAATGTCAGACTTCAACCAGATCCCTTAACAGGTGCTCATCTGGAGCATGACTACATGTGACCTCGATTTTCAACCTAATACATACATACATTATTGAGAGGAGGTTCCGTTACCACAGAAATCCCCTATCGCCAGACTGCGATCGACTACAATGGCTGTAACAAACCTGGGTGACCCTTGCTACCGCAAAAACCTTACAAATACAGAGCAAAACTCCCACCATCATACTTTTCGACGAAGGAAACATGAACGTGACGTTGATCCTGTCGCATACTAGAGTGAATGACCTACTCGTTTCGCGTCTGTACCGCACAACTACGGTCTTCACCACCCTCCATGCCAAGAACTGTTACCCTCCCAGTTTGGGTCTCGACGTCTCTGATGGATTCCATACCATCGTGAATAGCTCGACTCATCTAAACCACAGTTAGTATGACAACAGTACTCAGACATGTAAGTTGATATACCTCTCTCACGACTAACGCCAAGCTGGTCCGCAATATTGACATACCCCTCCTCCACAGCGCCTTTATCCTTCTGGACGCGCGCAACAAGCTTCTCATCACCCTTCCAGGCACTGCGACACATGGGGCAAGTCACTTTCCCGCCAGCCTTTGTCTGCGCCCACATTCTGAAACACTCCTCGTGAATGTTCTGACCACAGGCGGCAGCGCACCAAACGATAGACTCTTGGTTCTTCTCATCAAGCTCACAGTAGCAGATGGGACAATCGCCATCGATGGGCTTGCGCTTGTCGGACTCTGCTTGTCCGGGTGCGGAAATGGGAGGCGCTGAGGCAAAGATGGTTTGAAGTTCAGTACTCAGAAGCGCGAGCTGGTAGACAAGATCAAAAGGCGCGTTCAGAACTTGTTTCATGACCTGACTTTTGTCAATGACGCGATCGAAGAGTCAGGTGTGGTACTTACGTAGAGGATATGCTTGCACTGATGACCCTTCTCATGATGAGGGCAAGTACATCGCGGCTGTTTTCCAACATGAACAGTGTAGATGTTTCCAGTCGATCCTGTCATCTCAACATCCTCCTCGGGGCAATCTTGAGTTCCTCCTCTGACGCGATTAAGCACGTAAAAGCGCTGAGAAAGAGCCCGGTCGTAGATCTCATGGAAAGACTGAGGTGGCTTGGGTCTGAACCTGCGAAGTCGCTTTTCCTCATTTGTGACTTTGGGTTTATTCACCTTTCTCTCCTTCTCAGCTTGGTACGATACATCTTCTTCTGTGATTTCATAGGCTTTGCGCTTCATTGGTGCTGGTGGCAAAAGTGTTATCTTGCTGAACGTTGGTGGCTGCTTTCTGGGATGGTTGACCCGCTTAGGCCGTGTTAATCAGATCTGGTAAGACTGGCTCTTACGGCGTCTTGAGATTCTCACGAGCAGCAGAACGCAAAACTCTGGTTGATTTCACACTGGCCGACCCCATTCTGATGAGTCTTCAGTTTGTCTTGTGATAATTTGAGAGAGATTTGTGGACGATGGAAGATGTGATTTCGTCGCGACTGCCTCCAGGGTATGGCAGGCTCCTTTGAACTTGGGCAGTGGCGTGGCAGTTGCATGGTCACGTGCCACTCCTTCCTCATGGCACAAGGGCAGGTACTTCATGTCTGGGACTTTCCACGTCAAACGTCAACGCCAACGTCATCTCGAAAACCCCGTGAATCATGCAGTGTTTCAAAAAACAATTGAGTTCATTCAAGGATGTCGATTGAGCCGCAAAGAGATGATTGGTGGTTTCTTTAATCGGGTTGTTGCATACAACTTCAGTCACTGTGCATTGATATGCGATTCACAGACTTCACAATTCAACAAATACATCAACTTAGAAAGGAACTGCTCTTTGGCATTGATTTATCCTATCTTCTTCATCCACTGATCCCTCTCTTTTGACTGGCTTCATACCGCTCATGATAGCCCAAAAAGTAACATAGCCAAACGCCCCGAAACAAGGGACTAAACCCGCCCCTGCTCTCCTGAGGGAACATAGATGCCCCGCCGTAATGCGCCCCCTATACATAGAAAAATAACAAAAGAAATCGAAAGGCAGGTTGATGTAGTAAGTACAGGCTGTGCCGCAAAGACGGCAGCCTCTTTGAAATGGTTCAACGCCGAGTCTATGCTATGGCTGTCAAAGGTGTATAGTATTAGACATGAAGGGAATAAGTGTGTGTGGCCGTAAGGTCATCGAAGTGATAGTATCATGCAGGTCGTATGGTTGAGGGCCGTGATACTGTCATCGAGGTATCGGTTGTTCGTCGTACTAAACCACAGGCGCGGGTATTATTGTGTTTGGCCCGGGCGGTGATTTGATATGGCTATGGTTGTCATCAAGAAGCGTCAACGTTCACGCAGCTGTGACGCGATGCATAGGAAAGTGTCGCAAGATATATGCGCGCGGCTTTCAAGGCAATGGGCGTCGGTGGGCGGGATCGCGAGGCTGCTGATATCGACCAGATTGTTGCTGCTGGGCAGTCAACCATTCTGTAGAGCCAGTTTGTCGACCAGGTTGCTCAGCAGGCAACTTGGTATCGCTTCCACTTGCGCCAGTGTGGTTTGATCCGCTAGGTGATCCAGGAACCAAATCAGTTACGGCCTGTGTAATTGAGGCTACGACGTAGCCTCGAAGTTCGCTGTCTTCTCGGCTGTCTTCCTTCTCTAATCTGAATCGTTCGTCCTTGTTCATGTTGGATCGGCGTATGTTCTTAATCTCTTGCATAACATAGAGAAGAACCTCTTCAGGGCACCGGTTGCGCTCAGCGGCATGCTGGTTCTTGCGTACATATCGTCGAGTGACATCAGTAGCGCCATCGATCGAGAAGGCAATACAATAGGACATCTTCTTGCCCCAACCCTCAGCATACAGGCGAGGGTTATCCCATGCTTCCTCACAAGCATCCACATGAACCCATCGCTTTTGGTGGTCTGAATACACTTCAGTCCAGACATGGTCCTCAGCGTTCCAGACCCAGCGAACACGGCCTCCAACAGCTCGGCAAAGCATGCTAAAACAGTTGGCCCATTCGCCAACACGTCCTCGTCGGGTTTGTAATAACCGCCAGACGTCACCGTAGCGAGGGAAGCGCTCGAAAGCTCCGCAATGTTGAGCAGAGCATTGATACAATTCGACACGGAGGGCGCCGCAAGCACTCTCTTCGGGTGAAGGAGCAGTCATGCCTCGAGCGATAGTGGGAGATAAGCAGACGGGGCAAGGTGGGTTGTTGACCCAGCTAAAGAACGATCGCTTAAACCATCTATCAACCGTGTTAGTCAATCCATCCAAACGAGATCGGATGGAAAATGACATACCTTAATAATGCCCGGATGACACAGTCTTGATAACCCCATTCGGGTCGTCGTCCATCACCCATACTCTCAGCCTGAGCTTGTAAGACCTGAGTCTCTTCCTCGGCCTCGCCATAGATACGATCTAATGGGATGGTTTGCAATGCCTCGTCCAACAGACCGGGGTTCTCGTATTTGGTTGGTGTTAACGATAAGCTGATGAGGAGGTTTCGGAATTTCTGAGAATCGCGATCACCAGCGGCGGGAGGTGTAGGGATCTTGGGGAGATGGCGCAGGGCGGAGTAAGAGGGAAGACCAGGTCCTTGGGATGTCGAGGGTCGGCTATCGCTGGGGAACGGAGAGCTTCGCATACGGGGAGACTGCTCCCCCAAGCTCGGAGAGCCTTGTCGCGATGAGGCACGGAGATCATTCATACGCTTGTCACGCAACAAGCCTTCGAATTGGACCCGAAGGTCTCGGGCCCATTCCTCGCCATACTCGCCCGCAGGCGTACGTTGGCCCGCCATAATTGCTAATATGTTGTTTTGTAAGTGGATAGTTCGTGGATGAAGATGTTGAGGATAAATGTTTCAGTATATGTTGTTGCCCAGATGCGTGACCGGGACTAGGTAGTTGATGGCTCAATTGTTGCTATTTACGAGGCCTAAGAAACCCCGGAGTGAGATATGTCGTCGTAATATTGATCGTAAATTGCTGTCGTAAGCAACGAGAGGTGCGTGATGGTAGGCCTGATTGCCACGGTACACGCGTTGTCCAGATGAATCCTTTTGGTCCTTAGAATGACCAACTGACTGTTGCCGCGGAAAGTGTCGCTTGCTCTGACCAGCTGATGACTAAGGTAGCCAGAATCGTTTCTTTTCTTTTTTCTCAATCGTCGTGAGTATCGTCGAATACTCTTTCGCCGTATAAACAAGTTGAATCGCTTCTTCTGTTCGTCGTCGCCGAGAGGGAAGAGTTAAAGGAGAGGAGTTGACGGCTCGCGAATGGCTGACCACTGCAGGCAGGTAAGAGAGACAGACAGCACAAAAGAGGAGAGGCAGGAGCAGGCGGCGATGAGAATCGAGGGTGGACCAGGGGAATAAAGGGAAAGGGACGGGGTGTCTCGGGAGGGTGTGCGTCTCGTTCGCTCTTGCCCACTCTGGGCCAGAGCCTACGATGGCAGTTTACGCGTCAGCAGTGAGCGCCAGGCCAATGGGGGAGCCGACTGTTGCTCCAGGTGGGGGCCGCTGGGCGCAGGGACATGTACCGGTACAGCTGCCTCGTACTCTTGTTCAAGTGCTCAGGGAACTGGGGACTGAGAGAACGCCCACTGAGCCTTATAAAATGGCTGAAATGATTGGTCTGTGATGAGTTGGACGGTTAATCCAGTGCTTGCAGTCCGATTGTTCTTTAATATTAGGGCTTCTGAAGCCTACGAATATTGATGCGTGTCGCGATCGTGAACAATTAAATGAGCCTCCCGAATATGTAATACTTTTCGACTCAAATTGAGTGAGAACAGGTCAACTATTCTCAAGTCTACGCAACAGCTTCATCATCAAGAGGCGAACCTAGAGGGCCAATCTCAGCAGGCCAGGGCAAGTGTACGTAGTCTTTTCCCAGTGAGTGATACACTTTTGAATTGCGTGCGTACGTATGTCGACCTAGGGAACACCGAAAAGCGAAGTGGCGCCTGGCCTAGATCCTCGTCATCAGCGAATTAGCAAGCGTCAGCATTTGCTTGTGCTACATGTACTTTTTGATAAGGTCAGATGGAGAAAAGAACTACAAGAGGCGATAAAATGATTTAATAAATTATGGGAATCTGTATGAGAATAATGGGAAAGGAGCGACAATCTGTATCTGTGCTGGCTGTGGCAATGTGAAGCCTCTAACTGAACCCAGCAGATGATAAGCGCGGGGAAACCGTCGACTCGCGTTAAAAACGATCGGCCGCTGTAAAGTGTAAAGATAGAGTCAATTCCATTGAGTCTTTGGAGTGAGCAGTCACTAATTCGACATAGGTAGTAATATCCGCGCGGACTACGGAGTACTCTAAATTTTGAATAAAAATGCCTAAACTTGAGATCAGCTCTAGTTAGTAGATGCTTCATTGTGCAATCACAGACTTGCTATATGTAAAATCAAATATTGAGTACTGTTTCATTTCATCGTTCCTCTATTGTAATATGGCGCAAATCCAGCACAGAAACCTCTCGAGGCTACCAAAGACCGCTGCAGTTTTCTGCGAGTCACTCGACCCTGGGGCCCTGGACTAGCAAGTATCGGTACTTTACTGGGTACGTGCCCCTCGTCTTGGTGGGCGATGACGAGGCAGTGGTGAGGTCCTTAGGCCCTCTAAAAAGCCGCCCGAAGAAATAGTATCGTGGCACAGCCCATACTGAGCCACGCTGCCCGCAATCCTATTTCGCAATACGTAGGACAAGGCGTGCGCAGCAATATCTATCCAAGATAGTCGACGAGACATAGTAACTATCCGCGCTTATGGTTTCAATTGTAGGCCTCTGAGGCATTCTCATTCTGGGTTGGCCTCTATATCTTGGATCTCACTAGCCACAGAGACATCTATCCAGTGGCGGTGCTCGCTATTTCCAGTTCCACTAGATCCACTTTGACTCGCGGCCTCTTGTCCCTTGTAATTCCACTGCCTCCATCGACTTGCATCACAACCCACCAGAAAGTTTGGTTCTGTTTCAATGATTTCCCTATGAGGACATGGATACCTACATATCAGATAAACACGAAGACGTTTAGTATTTTCCGAGATACGATACCCAATATTCGCAAATTTTATGTGGTTCACAAGTGAAGCTATTCCACATGGCTGATGGGGATGACAATCTGTGCAGTACAGTATCGAAAGAGACAACGCAGAGCAAGATGCTCAGTACGGTTTTCAGTACTCCACAGCGATCTGCAACATGCTTCTTTATCTCTATACCTGATAC